CAAAAAGAGTTAGAATCTTGTAAGGGTCCGATAGAAAGAAATATCAATTGAATTCACGAAGTATTCAAATATTCGGCAACTAGATTATAGCAATCCTAGGTAACATACTATGCTATGCTATGCTACTCTTATCACGGTACATTTGTTAGTTTTATCTTTATATGTACCTTTCTCAGAATTTGTAATTTCTGTCGCAATTGATGGCAGTAACCATGGTTACCTATTGCTGACTATTTTCAGGGTTCCGGAAAGATATGCTTGAAGCTCTGGGAGTTTTCTATGAATATTCAAGAAGAGGTGGGATGTACATAAACTCTTGCTTCACTCATTGTCAAAGTGAGACACAAGATACCTGGTTTGCAGTTGACTCTCCTCGAATAAACAACAAGGTTGGTCAAATAAATTTCTCACATCTTTGGCTGTGGCACAATACTTACTTGAANACAAGGTTGGTCAAATAAATTTCTCACATCTTTGGCTGCGGCACAGTACTTACTTGAAATGCAATACTTAACGCTAAAATGGCAAACATGAACCTTTTTTTTAGTGTGTGAAGTAATTCCAGTCCCTTTCAGTTTCTTCCAAAATCTTCTGTGTTTGTTAATTATTACTACTATGCAAGTTTTTTCTCAAATCATACTGTTAATCACAATCTTGGAATCTAATTCTTATTCGTTTTCTGATAAAATCTACAAAGTAGTAAATGATTCTCCGTGTTTATAGAAAGAGTGGTGTTGTTTTTCCTGAATTTCACAATATATGTACAAGTCAATATACGATCTGATGCAACTGACAACCTATCAAGCACAAAAGTTAATTTCTTTTTGATTTTGTGTCTACTGATTTTGAAACATTCATTTTCCAGACAATTGCACAGGCAGTTGGCGATTGGTACTTTAGTAGAAACGTGAGCAAGGAGATTGATTGTGCATATCCTTGTGACACTACTTGCCACAACATGATTTGATACAGAGATCTCGTACATGCTAATTTTCAGAGGGTAATTGGAACCCGGAAACTCAGCTATACACAATCATACAGACAATACTGGTTATATACTGCAGATTGATTCTTTTAAAAGTGGGATGCAGGAAGGAGTAGGTGTTCTTTTTATAAGATTTTATAAATATATATTGCAGAGTAAAAAGCAGTTTTCTTGTATTCTGAGAGGAGAGATGTTGGAGATGCTGATTAGTCACATAGAACAAATATGTATATCACTTTTAGCAAAGAATATGATAAGGATTCCATACAACCGATTCTGAACTTTTATGTTCAAATATCAGGCCAAAGAAATATATTCACTAATCACTATGACACTATTAATGGACTAAATAATTTCATTGGTCTTTGTCTTCTGGCATTTGATGCGGTTGTTGTCGGGACTTGTTTGTTTTGCCATTTCTTTTGAAAGATAAATAATCCCACGTTAATACAGTTCCTCTGCAGGTCCATAGCCCATGGGACTGGTAAAAAGTCTTGCCTATCTGGTGTAACATGCCATTTTCTTTCTCCATTCTGGTGTCGTGAGAAAAGAAAATATAACTGTAACAGAATAGAATTGAGAATGGCCTAAAACTAACGAACTATATATGCCACTTTGGGAGAAATCAGAAAGCAGAACTGCAACACTGTTACGAAATATCAGTTGTGAGACGTGTTTGGAGATTTCATCAATCAATAATAAGAAAAGAAGAAATAGTTGGTAGTAGACATTGGCAACCATGGTGACCAGAGGCAGATTACTGGGTTCTAAAGTAAAAATGTGTACATATTCAATGTATTGCTTAAGATAAATATGTTGTTTGCACAAAAGCTATTGGGTTCAGATGAACCGGTTACCAAAGCTCTAGCTCCGCCCCTGATGGTGACAACATTTTACGACAAATAGTTTGATTCACATGTGTGCGCGAGGAATAGTCGGATAATCAAATGATAACAATTTTAACAGCAGTCTTAGGAGCTCGATTCAGTTGAATTCTCTTTCTCCTCTATAACTATGTAACAAGAAATATTTGATATGGGAACTGAATTTTCCCTCAACAATCCAAATGAAGCATTCTCCTAATGAAAAAAAGGATGTGCCAAGCTTCACATGTTCAACGTGGAAGTACCAAATTATTTCATCAGGAAAAGTTTCTATTTATAGAATAACTTTTAGCTGTAATTTAATAATTAGATGAGTGTTATAAAATAAAGACAGTAAAGTAAAGACAATTATAAAGAGAAACTGATATATTATTCAACTTTCAAACTTATATTCATAATAAACTAAAAATTTCTCTATTTATAGAAGAAATGAAGCAGCTGCGAGGCTTTTCAGGAAGCAGCTGCAAGCTTGCAACCTGCCTGTTTAATAAGAAGTTGCTGCAAATCATTTCATTGAGTTGCTTGCAACTTGCATGCATGAGCTGCTTGTAAGCTGTCTGCATGAGCTGCTTGCAACCTGTCTGTTTAATAAGAAGTTGCTCCAAATCATTTCATTGAGTTGCTTGCAACCTGCCTGCATCAGCTGCTTGTAGATAAACTTCAACAGAGTACTAAATGGATAATCTTCTTCAGGAAGATTATCTATAGCAGAGTAATAAATGGACATCCACAATATAATATTTTTATAACACTCTCCCTTGGATGTTCATTAAAAGATAATGTGCCTCATTAAAACCTTATTAGAAAAAACCCAGTGGGAAAAATCCTAGTGAAGGAGAAAGAGTACACATATTTAGTAATACGCATTTTTAGATGCCTCATTAAAAACCTTACAAGAAAACCCCTATGGGAAAAAGCTTAGTAAGAAAAAAAAAAGAGTACATCGCGTATTTCACTCCCCCTGATGAAAACCTTGTTTCAAGTATTTGAGTCTCCGCATTCCAATCTTGTATACCATCTTCTCAAAAGTTGAAGTTGGTAAAGATTTAGTGAACAAATCTGCTGGATTGTCACTTGAACAGATTTGTTGCACATCGATGTCACCATTTTTCTCAAGATCATGTGTGTAGAATAATTTTGGTGAAATATTCTTCATTCTATCTCCTTTTATAAATCCTCCCTTTAATTGGGTTATGCATGCAGCATTGTCTTTGTATAAAATTGTGGATCTTTTATCGCATTCCAAACCGCATTTTTCTTGAATAAAATGAATCACTGATCTCAACCATACGCATCCCCTAATTGCTTCATGAATAGCTATTATCTCAGCATGATTTGAAGAAGTAGCAACAATTGATTGTTTTGTGGAGCGCCATGATATGACAGTACCTTCATATGTAAACACGTACCCGGTTTAAGATCGAGCTTTATGGGGATCAGATAAATAACTTGCATCTGCATAACCAACAAGATCTGCACTACCTTTGTTAGCATAAAACAAACTCATATCAAGAGTTCCCTTTAAATATCGCAAAATATGCGTAATCTCATTCCAATGTCTCAGTGTAGGAGAAGAGTTATATCTTGCTAGTAAATTAACAGAAAATGTTATGTCAGGCCTTGAAGCATTAGCAAGATACATAAGTGCACCAATTGCACTTAGATAGGGTGTTTCAGGACCAAGGAGTTCCTCGTCCTCTTCTGGAGGTCGGAACGGGTCCTTATGCACTTCAAGTGATCGAACAACCATTGGTGTACTCAATGGGTGCGCTTTGTCCATGTAAAAGCGTTTTAAGACCCTTTCTATATAGGCAGATTGATGCATAAAGATCTCGTCTACTAAATGTTCAATTTGCAGTCCAAGATAAAGTTTTATCTTTCCAAGATCTTTCATCTCAAATTCTTTCTTAAGATATTTAATTGCCTTTTGGAGCTCGTTTGGAGTTCCAACAAGATTTATGTCATCAACATAAACAGCAAGTATAACAAATTCTTATGCCATTTTATTTATAAAAATACATAGACAAATAACATCATTTATATAACCCTCTTTCAATAAATATTTACTAAGGCGATATACCACATGCGCCCATATTGTTTTAAACCGTACAGAGATCTTTGTAATCTGATTGAATACATTTCCCGAGATTTCGAATATGCTTCAGGCATTTTAAATTCTTCCGGGTTTTCATGTAAATCTCATTATCAAGTGACCCGTACAGATAAGTTGTAACAACATCTATCATATGTATTTCAAGCCTTTCACATAGGGCTAAACTGATGAGATATCGAAATGTTATGGCAACCATAACGGGTGAATATATTTCTTTATAATCGATTCAAGGTCGTTGTGAGAATCCTTGTGCGACAAGGCGAGTCTCGTATCTTTTAACTTTATTTTTGTCATTTTTTTTTCGCACAAAAAACCATTTATGACCAACTGGTTTTATACCAGCAGGTGTTTGGACTACTGGTCCAAAGACCTCTCTTTTAGCAAGTGCGTTCAATTCTGATTGAATTGCCCATTGCCATTTTGGCCAATCAGATCTTTGTCGACATTCTTCGACAGATCTGGGTTCAAAATCCTCACTATCTTGCATAATGTTAAGTGCAACATTATAAGCAAAAATATTATCCACCACTATTTCAGATCGATTTAAATTAATCCCATCACCAGTAGAACTTATTAAAAGTTCCTCGCTCACTTGAGTCTCGGGTTCAGTGATTTATTCAGAAATCTCAGAACTAATCAGATCTTGGGTCTCTTCGGGAGATCCCTTTATAGTATCGTTTTGATCATTTATCGATTTTTTTTCCGAGGATTTCGATCATTATAACCCAAAGTCCTACCACGCTTCAGGCGTGCTTTAGGTTCACTAGTTCTCATGCTAGTAGATGGTCCTGCTGGGACATAAATTCGTATAGGCACATTCTCTGTAGGGATATGTGACTTAGTTATTCTTTTCAAATCAGTAAACGCGTCTGGCATTTGATTTGCTATATTTTGTAAATGGATGATCTTCTGGACCTCCTGATTATATATAGGGGTACGTGAATCAAAATGCGATAATGATGAAACTTTTCATACAATTTCTCTTTTGGTTTCCTTTTTCTCTCCCCCTAATTGTGAAAAATTTATTTCATCAAATTGACAATCTGCAAATCGAGCGGTATATAAATCTCCCATCAATGTTTCAAGATAGCGAATAATAGAGGGTGATTCAAACCCAACATATATTCCTAATCTTCTCTGCGGGCCCATCTTACTGCGTTGTGGTGGTGCTACTGGCACATATATAGCACATCCAACAATATGTAGATGGGGAATATTTGGTTCATGATCAAAAACTAATTGTGACGGAGAATATTTATTATAATGTATCGGTCTAAAACGGATAAATGATGTTGCATGCAAGATAACATGGCCCCGAACAGTAGTGGGCAATTTTGTTTTCATAAGTAATGGTCATGCTATCAATTGCAAGCGTTTAATAAATGACTCCGCAAGACCATTTTGAGTATGAACATAAGCTACACGATGTTCAACTTTTTTCCCAACTGATAGACAGTAATCATCAAAAGCTTGAGATGAGAATTCTCCAGCATTATCAAGGCGAATAGCCTTTATAGGATAATCTGGAAATTGTGCCCTTAATCGAATTATTTGGGCTAATAGCTTTGCAAACGCCAGGTTGCGAGATGATAGTAGGCACACATAAGACCATCTTGAAGATGCATTTATTAGGACCATAAAATATCTAAACAATCCATTTGGTGGGTGAATAAGTTCACATATATCCCCATGTATACGTTTTAAAAGGGTAGGGGATTCAATGCCAGCCTTCATTGGTGATGGTCTAGTGATCATTTTGCCTTGATTACAAGCATCACAAGAAAATTCATTATTTGTAAGAATCTTCAGGTTCTTTAATGGATGCCCAATCGAATTTTCAGTAATTCGTCTCATCATTATTGATCCAGGATGGGCCAAACGGCCATGCCAAAGCTCAAAATATTTGAATCAGTAAACTTCTGGTTTACGATAGAGTGTGCTTCAACTGTACTACTCTTTGAATAGTATAAGCCAGAAGATAAAGTTGGTAACTTTTCTACAATGCACTTCTGGCCCGAAACATTCTTTGTAACACAAAGATATTCCATATTCATTTCATCTATCGTCTCAACATGATACCCATTTCGGCGGATATCTATAAAACTCAACAAGTTTCTTCGGGACTTGGAGGAGAATAATGCATTGTCTATTATAGATTTTATTTTCTTAGACAGAAATATAGTAGCTCTTTCAGAGCCTTCAATCAAACTTATATTACCAGAAATTGTAGAAACATTTACTTTTTCCCTATGCAAATAAGAAAAGTATTTCTGATATTTGAATACGACATGAGTTGTTCCACTATCAATTACATAAATATCTTCATGATTGGTCTTTGATCCAAACATAATTTGAGGATTATCC